CAATTCTCACTACAAAAATAACTATATAACATAATGCATATGCTAATTACATTTAAACATTGAACACTATTGTATCTTTAAAACATCTTATTTTTCATTAAGTTTATTGGTACATTTTAGGAACACAATACAGTTACATTCATCATTGATATCACGTACATTTATATGATGTATCTTGGTTCTTATTTTTTCCCATTCCCCCTCCCTCTCTTTAACCACTCTGCTCCTCCATTTTATAATAAACATTGTGCCCTGTTTATTTAAAAAAAACTTAAAGATAAAATATACATAAAATTAAGGAAAAAATGAAAGGCAGTATTGCATTGCTTCCATTACATTTTGGACACCAAAAGATCCACAAAATCTACATTTTTTCCAAGTGATGCACACCATACAAAATAATTCTTTGTATTTATTCTTATTAGAAATTACTAGAACATCTAGTGACTTTTAAATCAAACCAAATTTAATACTTTCCCTTTGGATTATTTCATCTTCCCAGCAAACATCTACACTGACAGAAAATTGATGACAAAAGTTATCATTCTTTCTACCTCATGGTTCCTGAATTGTGTGGAGAGTGAAAATAACAATTTATTTAATGAGCTCTGAGAATTCAACCCATGAGACTACGGAAAATGTATAGATGCCACAGTTACCATACACCTGTAAATCTCTAGCCCAGCCTCTAAGGAAACCAGAGTGGGCTTTGTGGGGACAAAGTGTGGAGAAGACAAAGCTTCAGTGACTGATATCTGAGTATCAGTGTGTCTCAGGGATCCTGGAGTAAGAAAGAGAGAGGAGCGAGTGTGGGTAATGGGGTTTCTCTCAGTTATATTGACTCTGACAAAATCTTACATCTCTTCAGTCTGTGAAGGAGAAGACCTGGTATTTTGAAGAAAATGTAGAACAGTTTTTGCCAATATTTCCATTTTCTTTAGCTCACTCTCAGAATTTAGAGTCTCTCTGTAGTGAGCATATCTTCTTGGCACAACCTTTTCTTCCTTACTCTTTCCTATAAATTGTAGGCTACTTTCAGATTCCCATGTTACTTATTTATTAACTAGACATCAAAGAACCATGCCTCACATGATGCACAAGGTATTGTCAAGTTTGTTTCAAATTTGATTATACTTTTCTATTTATATTTTATTTTTTAAAATTCTTTACGTTTATTGGTACGTTAGGTATGCATTATGATGAAATTTATCATTGGGAATTTGTACCTGTACGCGATACATCTTGGTTCTTATTTTTCCCCATTTTCTTACCCTCCCTTCTGCCACTCCACCCTTCCATATTTACAAAGACTTTGTTTCCATTTTTTTCCTTTTCTCATATCTTCCCTTTTCCCTTCCTCTTTTCCTTTGGATCTTTCCTTCCTATTTCACATTATATATTATACATTTTGTTTCTTATTTACACTCTCAGTTTCTTCATTCCGTCTTTTTCCTCTTTATCCCTACTTTATTGCCCCTCTCTCAGAATTGTCAGTTTCTAACACCAGATAAACTATTTGGCATCATTCCACAGTGATATATGTGCACCCATGTGTATGTCTAGCAGCAGTTTTTAATAGCTAAATCGTGGAAACAGCCCAAATGTCCATCAGCAGGTGACTGATGTGGGTTTTAAAAAAATAAGACGGAGTACTACTGAGCCATAAAGAATGAGAAATTAGAGACATTTGAAATGGATGCATATTGAGGCCACACTCTTAAGTGAAATTAATAGGACATACATGTATTTTCTATCCCTTATTTTTACTAGTAGATTGCATGTATTTCTAGTGGTTACTGGTAACATGTTAGTGGCTAACATTTTATCTTAGGTTAGATGACACATATAACTTTAATGTCTATAATTCTGATATTCAACACTCACTTGACTTACCTTTTATCATCAATACTTTAAAGATTTAGAAAAATATCAAATTATTCAATTTGGAAGCTATTGTCTTGACATGTTCATGAATTTAACACAAATACTTGAGTGTTTCTATGAAGCTCCTCCTGTTGGCTATACTGTGAAAAAAAAACATTGGGTGAGGGAATTGTTTTGGATGTTTTCACTGACTGACAAGCTCAGCCTTAGCTGCTAAATGCAGTAACATACAATAAATTTTAAAAATAAACTTTTATATTGTTGTTATGGCTATTTACCTTTATTGGCCTATTTTGTGATTCATATGTTTACAAATGTCCATATATTAAACCACTTTCTATTTCTAGAATTGGTGTTAATTATACAATGTAAAATTTTTCTTTTTTCTTTTCAATGCTACCTATGAATCCCAAAGACTGTCACATTCTAAGCATGCTTTCTCTGACTGAGTTCAACCCAAAGCTCTCAAAATAGACATAAGTCTATTGTACTAATTGCATTCTTTTGTTTCTTTTGTATACATTCATGAATATCCCAAATTGGAAGACTTGTTTTTGTGATGTGGTAGACATCCTGGTATTAATATTTATTTTACATTAAGCATTTGTATTTGATCAGGGCCCACAATGTACCAGGCCAATGTAAGTTCCCGGAAAGACACATGATGAGCCAGAACTGCCACAACATCAGACCCCACCCCAAAGAAATCATAAATTTACCAATGTGATGGTGATTTAAGGAAGAGTAAATGAAGCTGGGATTATTGATGTGCACCACTGTGCCTGGCTACTTTTGTCTTTCTATATTTTTAGATGGTTTGATATAGAAACGTTGGATACTACATCAAACACATACCTTAGCAATTAACTCTGCTGATGTTAACATGATGCACAATACACCCCCACTCAAGAGAATGAACACTTGTGCACACACTATCATGTATGACTTACATTAGATTTTAACTGTTGTATGGTTTGCTTTCCTCTTCTTACCTATGTAGTTCACATAGTTTATTCTCTTCTTGAAAGAATTCACTAGACAATTTCCTGACAGAAGGAGCCAGAGAGATCTTCAGAAATTAGAAATGCTGTATAGTGATCAAAAGAGGTAACTAATCCATTGTATGTATAATGATTTTTATGCAAAAAAGGTGTTGTGAAGTAAAAGAGAAACCATGTAAAATAGGTTTGTTTTACTTCTCAGAATAGAATTTTACATTTATGAAATGCTCATTTATGTTACAAGATCTACAGTAAAAAAAATTATATGAATTATCTCATTTACATAGTATGACCATACTCTGGTTTCTCATCAGATCATATAAATCTTTCTCTTTTTACATAGTATTTAAATTTAAAAATTTAAAAATTTAAAAATTTAAATGTTAACATTACCACACCAAATGACACATTGGCTATATCACCATTAATCCAACCCTAAATCTTCCCCTTTCCTTCAAACACTCTTATCCCATTTTTCTCGCTACTTTCTGGAACAGATCTGAAAATTATATTTTTGTGAATGTCTTTAGTTGTGCTATTGTGATTTCATCAATGTCCTGAACTGATTCAAAATACTTACCTTTATGGCAATTTTGTCTTTGGGAAAGACCAAGAAAAGTCGTGTTGCCAGATCTAGTGAATAAGTTAAATAAGGGCACACTAATATATTTATAAATTTCCTTTCCATTGGATGTCATTTACCAGCAGCCTTCATATTAAATTTTATCGTATTTCATAGATGCTCAAGAAATATTACTTCCAGAATTTCTTCTGAAAGTGGCAGGATATAGGAGATAAGTATGTTTAAAGCAAAGGGGAGTATTTTGAGGAAGATTAATACCAATGTGTCCTTCTATTGTAATAATTTTGTTCATTTAAATATTCACTGATTGTTTCAATCACTGCTTATATTTCCATATACCACTCCTACCACTTGATGAATGTTTACCACTCTTACTACACAGGTGATTTATTTGCAGCTATGTAACTTTCTCAAAGTTACACAGATGATGTGGTGTGTGGTAACTACACTTAAGGAAGTCTGACTAGAGAACATAATTTCTAAGTTTCTAAATGACAGGAATAT